ATCGAATATGCGGAATTTATCTTGTTCAGCTGAGCCTGAAACAAGCCATGAAAAAGAGAAATCATTTTTTAGATGTATATTTTTTAGTATATATGAAATATGTATCTCATACATACCTGATTTTCGTAAATATCATAATCTTGCACGTCGTGATTTAAATTATACTTGTCAGCCTCATTCACGGCGACCTTCTTGGGTTTCTGATATTGCTTCGTGTTTACCTCGCTAATTTTCACGTTTGGTTGCTGCACTGTCTGATTGATGGTATATTGATTGTAATCTATGTAAAACAACAATAAATTTATCGGAATTATAATTAATGAATCCGCAAAAAGTGAAAGTAGACTTTGTTTTGTCAATCATTAATCTCTCACTGTTAGGTTTGCCTGACATTCAAATACGTTATTCAGTAAAAATTGAGCTTTTAAGAAATTTTAAAAAGAATAAAACGCAAGTTGAAACATAAAACATTCCGGATACTTTTTCATTTTTCATATGCTTTGTCCAAGGCTGGCCTTGGAATGTACAACTGCCTAAAATAGTAGATGAAATTTTTTTCTCGAAGTTTATTCTATAGATTTATTATTTTGCCATGCGACATTTCGAAAGTAAAAATTAACAAATTGCCTACCATCGTCCTTGTAAATAGAAACGTCGTCGTCGTAAATCGTGTAATATGGATAGCTTTGATCTGGATCGCTGTAGTAAGCTTTGGATAAGACGGGCGCCACGGTCGAGGCCAGAGTTTTAGCAAGCCTCGGCGCTTCGGTGGTCGGGACGGGCGTTCTAAAGCGTAAGAGAAAGAAATTAGTAAAGGGGGATAATGCAACAGAAGCTCGATGTTAATTACGGTGCTTTCACGATGAAATGTGCGGCATATCGGATCACGTTATTACATAAAAAAAAATTTCAATCAAGGAAGAGAGAGAGAGAGAGATATCATCGGAGAGACGACCGATTGCGAGATATAAAAAGTTTCGAGGGGAGAAATCACTCTCTCGTTCAAAATCAAATTAAGACGCCTTACTTCATCGCGACGAAAACCGTTTTCTTTTCTCAAGAGCGTATTTGTAACTTCATTACCAACCTGTAATGAGACTCCGCTTGGGCACGTGCGCTCACCAGGCTATCCTTCTCCCTCTCCTGGAAACAGGCGCGAAATCATAATCTCAGTGAACAACGAGATTCTTGAATTGCCGCATTCACCGCTAATTGATCAAATTCACTTCGACATTTAATGGACGCGTCCGTCGTCTATTCAATGCAACTTTCTATTTGCGTTCCCTCTAAGGAACGTCAATATCCCTGTAATCGTTTATGCATTTGGATTATGCACTGTAGCATTGAATAGCATTGTGACACGTTTCGTTATTAATAAAAATCATTCCGCTACTTGCTTAATCATTTACAATTCCTTCAATCTACATTATGCACAATCCCAAAGTATATTCTATCGGCAAAAGAATCATTTATTCAAGTACATCTTTTTAAATGTTATTTAATAATTTCATAAACCATCCAAGAATTGATTAGGGCCATCTCAAAGGCCGATATAAAAAGATAATTTGCTCAGATCTTGTATATAAAATAATTTCCTCGGGCCATTAAAATTATTACGTAGAATGATCAAGCTTGTTCATAGTACAATCAAAATTTTTTTATATTCTAGCAACGAATTTGAACGTCCCTACATTCTTAATCTTGTATCACGTAATATCTCCGGTGCATTTTTTTAATTAAAAAAAAAAAAAATATCTCAAATTTAGAGATACCATACAAAATACACGACGATTGTAGTGAGTCAATAAAATTATTTCTAAATTTGTATCGAATCCAATTTTTAGATAGATGAGTCAATAAAATTATTTCTAAATTTGTATCTAACTTTTAGATTTTTATCAAATTTTATCAATTTTACAAATTTTATCAAATTTTTAGATACTTCAGCGAAAGTAACAGTTCTTTCCATGAATATCGCAAGATGCATGACTTACCGATATTATATTCCGTCGCAGGCCATCACGGTCACGTTGCACCTGGCCGATCGTCGAAGGTTGTCCACGGTACACTCGTTGCTGCCGATCGTTCTCCACCTCCGAGGCGGGACCGTACTCATCATCGTGATAATTCCTCGAGTGCTGTCGTTGCCTCAGCTGCCTCTCGGTGATCTGCGAAACCGGCGACGACACGGTCGTAACCGTGATCGGCTGCCTCTGAATGGGTCGTTGTTGCTGCTGCTGTTGCTGCTGATCTCGTAACTGTTGCTGTCGTTGCTGCTGCTGCTGTTCCTGTATCGTCTCGAGTTTTGCGGATCTGCGATCGGGACGGTTTTGAATTTAAGAGCGACTGTCTTGGAACTATATGTTTCTTTTCTTTTTTTTTTTTTTTTTTTTTTTTTTAAGAAAGAAAAGCCGAGCGCTAATAAATTACAAAATGTTTTGCGCTACGTTTAATTCAACATAGAGAATATAACGCTCGCATATATAAATACATGGTGAGCGACTGGACCTACATCCTCGCACAAGAGTTGCATAGAAATAACATAATAAAGAGAACATAATAAATATCCTCCGCCGAGGAAGAAATGATCGGAATTACAAGTGCCTGCTTTCGTTTCTGTGCCGTTCGAAAACTAACGGAGCTGAACGTATCTGAACGTCCCGCTAAAAATTCTCGCGGGAATGTCGCGTATCGACGATTATGTAGATATATAAAACTGAAGGATTGTCTTGTAGAGATTTTCTTTTTAAATGACAAGGACACCCGGAATCCACGGACGAACAAGTTGAGAAACTCTTTCCCGATTGCCCGTGTACAATGCAACTAATGAGTATCCAGCCTGCGCATTGCTCAACTTCTTGGATTTATGTAACAAGAGACTCAGCTGTCGTTCTTGCTCGAAAAGATCCATTCTCGCATACAAATACGCATTATTTTCATTTACACGTGTAACGAGTGAAACGAATTAATTAACTCCATCACGTATAGCCGCGTGCTCGTCTAATGAGAATATCAACCTGTCGCGGTTGCTGTATACCGTTTACAAATTTTCGCACGTATTATCCCAATCGTAACTCACGAACGAGGCTGAAGAACGCAAAAAATACTATTTGATTTTGTAATATTATTTTCTGAGATATACTCACTCGTGGCATCTATTTTTTTCTGTAAGGCAACAATTAAATTTTAAATTAAAGTAATTTATGTTAGAGAGTAATAATAAGAAAACGAAAGTGAAGCCACATGAGAATTTACAGGCGGAACGAAGTGGCCTCTAACAAGCGTTGCTTGTCGTTCGAATGTGCGTTATTTTTTTTTATCGGCGCGTAATACTCGTTGATATTTCTGTTTTTTTTTTTTTTTTTTTTGCCTATCTCGCGTGCCGAGAGTGCACGTTCGAGGATCCGTGAACGCGAGATGCATTCGAGCAGCCGAGAAAACGCGATCGCGAGGTTGTTCCATCGAAACTAATGGCTCTCTCGCGAATCTCCCCCGCACACCTCCCAATCCAGTCGCCTTAATCGACCGCGCTGGCGCTGTTTCTCTTTCTTTTCACTCTCACTCTCGCCTTTTTCTCCCATCGGCTGTCGCGCGAGCGTGGGTGAAGCTCGTATGCGCCCGCGCCAGCGAACGCCATTGTTTTGCAACCACGTCGAAAACGAAATCTCACGTGCGGAATGCAACGCGCTACCGTGTCATTTTTGTAGAGAAACACGGTGCGGAGAAGGAAAAACACTTTGCCACGTTCTTATATTTCCATATACACCGCGACAGCGACGTAACTCGCGGGAAAACGCAATTATAGCCTCTAAGTAGGGTCCATGAGAAAACATCGATGTAAATCTTATTTATAATTGTTGAATATGGAATTAAACTGTTGACACTTGAAAATATCTTTAGGCAGAATATTGATTAGACAAACTCACCTTTCTAACAGGGGATCTTCCTCGACCTCTTTATTGGACGATCCTCCTCCCGGGCAGCCAACGTTTCGTGGCCAGTCACACGTCTGCAAGTCGTGACTAGAAAAGAAGGCAAAACGATTTGAATTTTTTTAGTAGCGATCGTTAACGATCATTAGTTACTTACCGAGCACGGCCTTACACGGCGCGATCACGCAAGTTCTCGCGCCTGTCGTGTCATTAAAATTACATTTGCACGACGCGAGACGTATCATTTCCAATTTCGCCGGTTTTTACCGTACGTTACATCCCTTTATATATATATATATATATATATATATATATATAT